AATATTTTAAAATCCAACGGCAGAGATTAATTATTTGAATAAAAATTTTAAAAAAAATTGTAAAAAATCCAAAAAAATTGTAAAAAATCTGAAAAAAAATTTGTAAAAAATTGTTTTTACTTTTCTATAAATACCACATCTTCTCCATCTACCTTACACCACAATTTCATATTTTCTCAACTACTTTCAATCAAATTCCTATATTTCTCTCAAAGTTTCAATCCAATTTTTTTTCCACAAAATGACTATTGATGCAGGTACGAATTGGTCGCTTCTTGAAGATGTTGCGTTGTGCACTAGCTGGGTTGAAGTTACTCATAATTCCCTTACGGGTAATGAGATGTAATTGCGAGAAATGTGGAGTTTAATTCATACCAATTTTCTTGAGCAAATAGGTGGGAAAAGAACCAAAGAATCGATGTCCAGTCGTTGGAAAATACTTTGCCATTCCTTTAGTACGTGGAGAGATGCCTTGACACAAGCTAGTAGTAATGTTCGAAGTGGGGCAAATTATGCGGATGAGGTAAGAATATATTATAATTATTTGTTTGTATTATTTATTTGTTACCTAATAATTTCATTATTATTATTTGTTTGTATTATTTATTTGTTACCTAATAATTTCATTTATTTGTTACCTAATAATTTCATTATTATTATTTGTTTGTATTATTTATTTGTTACCTAATAATTTCATTATTATTATTCATTGTTTGTATTATTTATTTGTTACCTAATAATTTCATTATTATTATTTGTTTGTATTATTTATTTGTTACCTAATAATTTCATTATTATTATTTGTTTGTATTATTTATTTGTTACCTAATAATTTCATTATTATTCATTTGTTTGTATTATTTATTTGTTACCTAATAATTTCATTATTATTATTTGTTTGTATTATTTATTTGTTACCTAATAATTTCATTATTATTATTTGTTTGTATTATTTATTTGTTACCTAATAATTTCATTATTATTCATTTGTAGCAACTTCAAGCACAAGCATGGTATGCTGCCAAAATCAAATCAAGAAACAAATCATTCCACTGGTAGGAATGTTGGAATATTGTTAAAGATTGTCCTAAATTCAAAGTTGTGCCTGTTGGTCCAGAAGTATGCATGAACAACACCTCTCTACACAGCACCTTTGTACACAACACCCCTCTACACTCTACACCCGATCATGGCTCCCATGTTGATGAAGAAGATGGAGAAGAAGTGCCTGAAACGCCCATTCCTGAACAAGCGTCGGGGTCGACCCGTTATCCAATTAGGCCTCTAGGTAAGAAGGTTTCAAAGAGGAAAGGGAGTGCTTCCAAGAATGATTATGGAAAGTACATGCAAGAACTTGCTCGTCAAGGTGAATTGACGTTGGCACGGGAATTGGCGAAATATGAGGCTGAAAAGGCTAGAGATGAGGCAAAAGCTACAGCTATTCAACAAGCATTTCAAGCTGAACAGAGGGAAAGAGAGCTACTTAGGCAAGAAAGGGAGTTGCTTAGAGAAGAAAGAATTGCACAACGAGATCGTGACATTATGAACACGCGTTTAGAAGGGATGTCTCCAAATTCTAAATATTTTTGGCAGTCGGAGAAAACGGATGTGGTGCAAAGGAGACGTGCAAGAGAAGCGAGATCAAGACAAGATGGTCCTAGTACAACAAGACAAGATGATCCTAGCACCACAGATTGGTTAAGTGTTGATGAATAGGGTACTTTTGTAATCGGAGCCCATAGTTTTCCAATCACTTTGGGTTGTAATTTATTATTTATGTTGTTTCCATTTTATTGAAGTTAGTACTTTATTTAAAGTGAGAGTACATGTATTTAATTTCGTAATATATTTATCCTAATAATAGAATCTTTATTCATCAAATTGTTCACGTATAATGATGTAATTATAAAACACACCAAATAAAACTAAAAAACTCACCAATTGGAATTACATAAACACACCAAATAAAATTACATAAACATACGAAATAATAAAAAACTCACTACAAAAAACACACCAAATAAAATTACATAAACACACCAAATACAAACAAACATACTAAATAAACTTAAGTATCTTCAACTTGTTTCAATGCCCACTGGTGCTCTATCAAGTCAATTTGCCGATCATTGTGCATAGATGACCTTTGAAGTGCAGTATATCGTTAAATGACCCTTTCATTGTAACGTCCATCCCTTTCTAATGGCTCGTGTTGCACGGGTTCTTCGGTGGCATCATGCGCACAATGTATCCGCGTTCTTGAATTGTTCATCGTGTCTGGCTCAGGCTCATATTCATCAACCGCATCATAATCGAACTCATCTTCCACAATCATGTTGTAAAGAATGACGCACGTCATCATGATGGATCGAAGTGACTCTACATCGAACATTCTGGCAGCACTCCTGACGATCACCCAACGAGCTTGAAGGATACCAAAACAACGCTCCACATCCTTCCTGCACCCCTCTTAACAGCTTGCAAAGTATTTTTCCTTTACACTTCGCGGACGTGACACTGTTTTGACAAATGTTTCCCACCGTGGGTAAATGCCGTCAGCTAGGTAGTATGGCCCGTCGTACCTACGTCCGTTGATGACATACATGACTTTTGGTGCCTTTCCTTGCAGAACATCGTTGAACACTGGGGATTGGGCAAAGACGTTGAGATCATTTTGAGCCCCCGGAACCTCGAAAAAGGCGTGCCATATCCATGTATCAAAAGATGCCACTGCCTAAAAAATGATAGATTTTGCTCCTTTTCTGTCCCCATATGCGTCTTGCCATGCACTTAGACAGTTTTTCCACGTCCAGTGCATACAATCGATGCTTCCTATCATCCCAAGAAAACCTCGCATCTCACCCTTCTTCAGAAGCCTTTGCAAGTCCATGCGAGTAGGTTTTCGGAGGTACTCTGCGGTGTACAAAGATTCAACTGCTCCGCAAAACCTCATTAGGGCCTCAAGAATGGTTGATTTCCCCATCCTCGTTATCTCATCCACTTGGTCTGCAGATGCTCCATACGCAAGCATTCGCAACGTTGCAGTGATTTTTTGCTCAGGCAAGAGACCCATAACACCATAAGCATCCTTCTTTTGCACAAAGTAAGAATCATGGTTGCAAACATCAGTCATGATTCTGTTGAACAAATGTCGTTCCATTCTAAAACGGCGTCTGAAGTACGTATCAAGAAATGCACTGTTATGGACAAAGTAATCGTCCAACAGCTCTTCACCCCGTTGTTGCCTGCTTCTATCAAGGTTTCTTGAACGGTTGGGCCTGCATATCTGAGCAACAGTCTGGATGACTCGACGGGAATGTGAGGCTCTGGCCATTCTTGTTTCGTCATCTCTCCTTCTACACTCATCATCCTCTTCCATCTCATTTTCGGCTATCTGAAGGTTGAGCATTCCTTCAGATTGGTTAAACAATTCTTCCTCTTGCTAATCGATTTCCCACATCATCCTTGATGAAGAAGAAGACATTGTAATGATGGATGGTGAAGAAGAAGCAGAAACTATGAATAATGAGATAGAGATGTTGAGAAAATTGGTGTGAGATTTGTGAGAATGGATGGTGGATTATATGGACGATTCAGAAAGGATTGAATTGTAGATCAGGCCACGTGGCATGCCGTCATTCGTTAAAAATCTGATCGAAATCTATCCTCAAAGATTCTGAAAAGATAATGACACGTGGCACGATCGTATTGGATAAAAATCTTATCGAAATCGATCTCTAATAATTATCTTTTCGGATAATGACACGTGACGCAATTTTGAACGAGTTAAAATCTGATCGAAATCTATTGTCAAAGATTCTCAAAAGATAACGACACGTGGCACGATGACATTGGATAAAAATCTTATCGAAATCCATCGCTAAATAATTGTTTTTTTATAAAATGACACGTGGCGCAATGAAAACGATTTAAAAAATCTTATCCGAAATTACAAATAATTTTATTTTGTATTATTTAAACAAAAAAAAACTAATATTTTATTGCCTATTGCTAAGGGGAGGGCTCCAAGGGTGGAGATGCAAATGACAATTACTGTTCATTAATGGCAGTTACTATTCATTAAAGGCAGTTACTGTTCAAAAGGGTGGATTCAATAGTGGATTGCCAGGGGGAGGGCTCCATGGGTGGAGTTGCTCTTAGTAATTATCTTCATGTATACATCAACAAAAAATTTATATTGCAATTAAACAATAGAAGTTAACTATTAATTTAATAATACTGTAATCTCTACTAATTAATAAAACACTCATTGTCAACCAAAATCCTATGAAATTACCAGTTTAACCCTCTAATTAAAATAAGAAATATGAGACAGAAATATAATTTTACACAACCAAATTTTGTTTTTTTTTTCAAAGCCTCACCTACATGCAATCATAACATATTTCTAATTAAAAATTAAAAATTAAGAAAAATTAAAAAAAACTTTTCACTTCCACATTCTCTATCAGTCTCTTCCTCTCTATTTCTATTTAAAAAAATAAAAATAAATAAATTTTTTCACACACTTTGTGTGTGCCCATATGTTAGTTTTTACTATTGAAAGAGATTTTAAGTTCGAATCACTCACGTCGTTAATAAAAAATCTCTATTAATTAATAAAACACTCATTGTCAACCAATATAAAATTACCAGTTTAACCCTCTAATTAAAACAAAACATGAATAAGAAATATGGGGCACATATGTAATTTCACACAACCAAATTTTACTTTTTTTTTTCAAAGCCTCACCTACATGTAATCATAACATATTTCTAATTAAAAAATAAATTAAAAAAAAAAAAAAAACTTTCCACACCCACAAAATTTCTATCACTCTTTTCCTCTCTCCTTCTATTTCAAAAAAAAAAAAGGTCGAACCAACCCCAAATGACGTCCCGAGTCCGCTGTTCAATGTTACAAGGCCCATGGGCCATGGAGAACAAGTATCACGGCAACAACAGCCCAACTTTGGCCCCAACAGAACCGCGGATCAAAATCAGCAGCTAGGCGAGTTCGTGAAATGAACTTTGAATTCTCCGATGAAAGGAGGACTGGGATCCCTGGTGAAGGGGCCTCGTGCGGTTAACGCGATCATTCAAAAGCTGCAGAGATGCATGAGCAGCGGAACCGCCGCAGTCATGAGCTTTGGCGACGGAAACCACGGTGCTCTGGGCCTGCCGACTTCCCTCATGGGACTCGGCGTCGACGCTTACGAACCCATCCGGGTCCCTTCTCTGCCTCCTGATGTCACCAGCGTCGCCGCTGGGCACTACCACTCCCTCGCTGTCACTTCCCAAGGGCAGCTCTGGGCTTGGGGCCGAGACCTTGAAGCCCAGCTCGGCCGCGGACTGCCTTCTCCCAGGTAAAAGCCTTCAGCTTTTCAGCTTAACTGAGCTCTAAGATTCAACATAAGCTTACCCTTTTAACCATTTTTCGAAGGCCCTAAGTGATAAAAGAAAGAAGATGAGTTTATTTCTTATGGTTTTGCATCAATTGGTGAAGATTAACTATGAAAGTGCTTTTTTTTTTGGTTGTTGGTCAAGATTATGTGATTAACCATGAAAGTGCTTTCTTGTTTTGTTGTTGGTCAAGATTATGTGATTCATCATGAAAGTGCTCTCTTTTTTTTTCTTTTTTTTTTTTTTTCTGTTGATGATCAAGATTAAGTGACTAACCATGAGAGTGCTTTTTTTTGTTGTAGGTCAAGATAAAGTGATTAACCATGAAATGGAAGTGCTTGTTAAAAAAAAAAAAAAAAAAAAAAAACAAAACATGAAATGAAAGTACTTTTTTTGTTGTTCCTCATGAGACCCCTCTTTTGAATTGAGTTGTTGGTAGTTATCTAACTAATGAATCTTCATTGGATTTCTGAGAATTTTCATTCGACTGGTACCACATTTTACTTTGAATTATGGAATTGTAAGTTACTGCATAATAAGGTTTTGTTGTTGGTGGCAGAGATTCATGGAATGAACCAAAGAGAGTAACTGGGTTGGATCAAGTAAACGTTTGTGCTACATTTGCGTCCGGTGTTGTTTCTGCAGCCATTGGAGATGATGGTTCTTTGTGGATTTGGGGAAAGTCGAAGCGTGGCCAGCTTGGTCTTGGAAATCAAGTCACCGGGGCCATGGTACCTTCCAGAGTTGAAGCACTATCAGGAGAGAAAATAATTAAGGTGCGGTTTAAAGCTTAAGGTATGAATTTGTTATACGCGGTAGAAAATAGAAAATAAATGCTTTGTCTAGGATACTTGTTTACTTAATAAGAAGGAAGTTTCTGGGGCACACATGTTATTTGGCAGGTATCATTTGGTTGGGGGCATGCTCTTGCACTGAGTGAGGATGGAAAATTGTTTGGTTGGGGTTATTCAGCCGATGGTAGGTTAGGAAGCATTACAGAATCCTTGGAGCCGTCTCTACTGGAATCAAGGGCAGGTTTGAGTAATAAGGAACTATCAAGTTCAACTGTGGAAGCTGCGGAGAAGCTGGTTTTAGAAGGAATGGCTAAGGAGAATGACATGCCGATAGTTTGGGAACCTAGTTTAGTGAGAGAACTACATTCTGTTGAAGTTGTAGACATTTCATGTGGTTTTGATCATTCATTAATTCTTTGCGGTAGGTAGTGTTGTGTGCATTGATATGCTTGCACAGAAATATATATTATATTCTGGAACAACGTACATATAAATATTCATGTGCGGATGCTTGTTTCAGGTGATGGAACACTACTAAGTTGTGGGAGCAACGTATATGGTCAGTTGGGCAGAGAAAAACCGGATTTGGGATTGTTCCCTGTTGACATAAGCTTCCGTCCCACATCAATAGCATCAGGGCTTGGCCATTCTTTGGCAATTTGCCAGGTTCCATCGTCGAATGTTATAAAAGGAGCTGAAGACATTGTTACATGGGGGTGGAATCAAAGTTCTCAGCTTGGAAGAGGTGGATCGGAGAATATTCCATTGGTGGTTGAAGGGTTGGAAGGGGAAATTCCTGTCTCAGTGTCAGGAGGGCGTGTGCATTCCATTGCTCTCACATCCAAGGGAGAAGTGTGGGTTTGGGGTTGTGGTAAGAATGGAAGATTAGGGTTAGGAAGCTCCTGTGATGAAGCAGAACCGATTTTGCTCGACTCTGTAGAGGGTTGTCAAGTTTTACAAGCTGTGTCTGGATTTGATCATAATCTTGTCCTGATTGCGGAGTGATGTGCATGACATAACGATTGTAATTGCGTTTTGTTCTGTGGTTTTGCTTAGTAATTGTCCGTTTTATGGCTTCTACGCTCCAATGTATTCAGATCAAAGAGAAACAAAAATGTAGATTGTCGAATACTACGTTCTATAGTAGAGATCGTGGGTTTCCACTTCACGAATAATGTAGAACTTAAACATTTTATGTTGTTTTCCTTTGTCACAATGGTTGGTGAATGCGTTCTTTCAACTTCGGTCCTTTGGTTCTTTAGAATGTTGCTTCTTACGCCTGCGTCTCCAGATTTCTTGATTCGATGGACCATGAGATTTTTGTTTTGTTTTCTGCAAATATCTGTGTTGTGACAATGTAAAGATATGGTTGTATAAAATGATTCCTGTATGATTTAGAAGAATTACAGTGAAAGAACACAATATTTACATAGTATGGTATAATTTGTTACATTTACAGTCTCACACAAAGTGATTTTTGTAGATTGGTTATTGTTTGTAAACCCTCAAGAAACCTTCTGCAACTTTTTGCAAGAAGCGCAAGTAGGTGGCACTCCAATGTCACCAGATTGATATGAACCGGTCCGTGCATCATCAGCAAGGCGGAAGATCCTTAGGCGGAGGCAGAACAGATTGATCCGATCCTGGTCCATCTTCTACGACGAATGCTGTTTTCAGTCCCCAGCCAGTATGAAGCTCCAAATGACAGTGCATGAACCAAACGCCTAGACATTCAAACAAGAAGCAAAGGGTTATAGTAAGTAAATAACCGATAAGTCTCTCATTGTATACGTGGTCAGTAAATGTGGTACATGTAAATTAAAGTGATCATCGTACCTGGATTATCAGCTCTAAACCGAATGGCAGTCCAACCACCTGTGGGGACTCCAACTGTATTTCTCTCAACAGGATCAACCAAGTTATACTTAGCAGGGTCCTTGGCAGGATCAAAATTCCCAATCCCAGTTCCCACAACAAAGAAGTTGTATCCGTGGAGATGGAACGGATGCGATTCCACGGTTAGGAGATTCGTGTCTTGTAAAACCAGCTCAACTGTCGAATTGAAAGCAATCTTGCTCAGCCTAGTTCCAGTTGATGTGCCAAGACTGGAGGTGAGTGGTGCACCAGTGTAGTTGAAAGGAGTTGATGGCCTATCGGGGAAGTCGGTTTTGAACACCCCTTTGAGATTAAAGTAATGTGCTTGCAGAAGCCCCACCTGCGGCATCTCGAAAGAGATGTTGTTCAAGGAAGCAACAAATCTTGTTCCGTTGAAGCAACTAGGGCATGATTCTTTCCCGAAACCAATGGTGTAGAAGAGTTTCCGGTCGACTTTGAGAGGCACATTGGCCGGAAAGTTTGGAGCGTTTAGGCTCCGGAGATTATTGTTGTATCTTAAAGCGAAGGACGTGTCGTTAGGGTTAGGCAATTGAGGAAGGCTTGGCAGGACGGTGTTCGGAATTCCTCTGTATTGGAGAATTCCAGTGGCTATCTTGTTGTCTACGGGAACTGGAGCATCCATGAAAGGCCTAGCAGCCATGAAGTATCTGCCTGAAGCTTGATTGGCTTTGACCAAAACGTTTGTGGTCTGGCCTGGTGCAATTAGTACGGCTTGAGTAGTGAAGGGTTTGGTATAAACTGCATCAACCTCCACCACTGTCAGGTTGTGTCCAGCAATGCCGAAGAAAAGTTCGTCGTTGAGAGCGGCGTTGATGATTCGAAGGAGATAGGTCTTCCCTTGCTCAACCACCATTGTAAAAGTATCTAAAACCAAATAAAATAGAACAAAATTGGAATTAGAACTTTTGGAGTTGTGCTTATGTTCAAGCTCAATTTGTTGCTTGTGTTTAAAGAAATTCGTTTCGGGGTTTGGAGTTAAAACATTTTGGCTTTAGGGTTTCCTTTAGCAGTCTGACGTTCTATCTTTCTTAAAGATAGGACGCGCTGAGGAAACTTCACTTATACTTTTCACCTCTGATTCCATCTAACGTATTTGAAAGTAGGCTTGCTTACGTTTCTCGGAGCAAGGAAACAATGGCCCTGGCTTGCCATTGATGGTGTGAGCATCTGAGGAGTTTGGTGGCAATCCCAGGCTGTTTGCTTTGTTGACAAAGGTTTCCACGTCCACATTCCACCATTCTCCAAGTATAATCTCAGTTTCCCTATACGGCTGTGGGAATGGGAATGGAGTTCCTTGTTTAGGCACGATCACAATTGCTCCATAGACAGTAGCCCTTAGCCAAAGAATATGTGCATGCCACCACAAAGTTCCTCTTTGCCCTGTCACATTGAAGCCATAAGTGTAGCTACTTCCGGTCTGGATTGGACATTGCGTCACATAAGCCGGTCCATCTGCCCAACCATTTCGGTACTGCTTCAATCCATGCCTGTAAAGAAAGGATCAAATTCAACCCTCTACATGTTTCTGCTAAACTAACATATTTTTCTTGGGGAACCGGTAATTAGCACTTTCGCTACGAAGGGTTGTTATAAGAAAGGCTGGTTGGTTTAGTTAAATTCTTACCAGTGAATTGACATGTTGTATTGAGCATGGTTTGTAACATTGATTTGAAGTCTATCACCTTCCCGGACATAGATCGTAGGCCCTGGAAACCTTCCATTTACAGTAACAATCGGTTTTGCATGGCACAATCTGCTCACATTCTTTACTTGAACCTGTAAAAGCACACAGAGGAGGATGTTATCGAATCGAAAACCATGCACGAAGTACTACTTTTTATTGCATGGAAACAACTCACATCAAACTGGTATTTCTTTATAGCAGCTTCAGCTGGAGAAGTGATTAAGCCAAGAAATCCGCAGAAAACAAACACGAACGCACACAAAAATCTGTTCCGGAGGCAGCTGCTAGCCATTTCGATTCTCTCTTTTGATCACAACTCCTTAATGGTTTATGTGAAGAGGCAATGAGGCATGAAGACAAAATGCCAAATATTTATATGAATGTGTTGAGGCAAAAGATTTGCATTTTTATTTTCAAGTTTGTTAAGGAGCTTCTGGCTTGATCAAATGATTAGGTAGGAATTGTGCTGGACATTAAATCTTATACGCAAAATTCTGAAAGGGACTCGGATTGGCTTTGACTGACTTTAAGGCTGGGATTGCTAATTTCAACTTTCAGAAACCTCAGCTTTGTAAAATGGATGAAGGATGTATTTTCCGTTTTTTTATGTGCACCAGCCAAAACCCTAAATGCAGTGCCAAGCTTTTCCGTCAAGCGAAAGGTATAGGCTATTGCTTAAAGAATCTGGTATCACTAAAGAGTCTTGTGGTGAGGAAAACTCGTCTGTACTTGGAATGTCACGGTTTTCGTCGTACTGTTATGTTCCATTTTATCAATTACGTGGCAATTCATGATTAACTTGGGTTAATTACTTGCAACATGACATACGGAGTGCACGAGAAGTTATAAGTTCTCTATGAATTCAACTAATGGATGGTCATATACTATTATCAATCCATGTGTATTTTAATGAGATGATATTATATTTTAAGTTCATGACATATTAATTATGATCTATTTATCCTCATATTATAATACGTAAATTAATAATACCATGTGACAATGCACTGTGGTACTAAACAATCTCTCGATGCATCTCGTCTTCGTCATCCATGTAAAATCTCTTTGCAAGGTGCCATCTGGGCAATGCAAATGCTTCGCTGCTGCTATGCAATTCTTCTGTTGGGTCAGATGTCATTCTCCAGGAGTTGCTTACAGCTATGTAGGGTGCTGCCTACTAATCCTAAGGGCCCATGGTGCATCAGAATCTAATTCATTTATATACATATGAATGGGGAATATATCAATATTTGAGAGCTTACTTTTAAGCGTCCCTTAGCATTTCTTTGGCATCAGAGATATGGTTGTGCGTACTTTGGGGCTCTTTTCGTTAAGGTACTTCAGATAGAAGCTTCCTCTTGCTTTTGATTTTGCCTACTCCATAAGGGAAAAACAAATGGAATACACACATAAAAGAACATCCTCTTCTCTCTTTTAACTATATTCCATCTTCAATTCTGTGTGTGTTTGAAGATTTACTTCCAAAAAAAAAAAAAAAACAAACAAACCTTAGGCAGGAGAAAAATTTAGGTATAGGTGTTCGATCACATTATCTATAGGCATCTCTAATAATAGTATCAAACCTCATGTAGTTTGGTTGTGCTTAAATTTATGATGGTCTCATTCAATCAATGTGAGAGTTGTCTTAGTCAGACAATCCTACCGAAGTTTCTCTCCTGTAAGAGGATCTTGTAAGTTTAAACATATTTTTGTTAACTAGAATCATGTCTACATAGACCCCACAATAGTAAGAATGGCAGAGTATATTCATCTGCAGCCATTTAGGTTCCATGCATTATAGAATATGCTTTCATATGAAGCTGATAGGTCTTTATTTCTACAATGAAGCAAACAACGAGGAGCATGTAGCCAATTTGAAATTATGCAAATCCGACGATAATATTATACGAGAAAATGATATGATTAGTCACAGGTGATCGATTGATGATTGTTGATGCAATGTATTTTGAGCCCGAGTAAAAAAGAGAGGTTTTTTATACACTCAAATTTTGTTTCTGGACATCCATCAATTTTATTTAAAATAAAAAGACTCCTTTGCTTTTGTATAAAATTACCAAGACCTCCAAAATAAGAAACTCTAACTGACAATAAGCCACAAAATTCTCGAAAATTCTACCAACCAATTGGACTCCCACCACCACCGCCTCCGCTCAATTCCCTCTGCTTCTCGGTGTCCCTCTCCAACCTAATCTTCAGCTGAAACTGTGTCACCGTCGTCGAAAACCTCACCGCCTGCCTCGAGCCCAGCATTTCCACCAACTTCGTCGCCATCGTCGTCCTCAACAAGTTGGCAACTCCAGCACGGACTCCAAATCCGACTTCAGCGATTCGATCACCGTATCATCCTCCACTATCTCCCCGTTCCCAACCCTCCCGTACCACAGCTCTCTAACTACCAACCAATACTCAATCTCCGACCAAGACCTTGACTCTCGAGGCTTCAACCTCCAACGCACGATCGCGGAGCTGAACTTGGACCACCTCAATAAGGTCTTCGTGGTTCTTTGTGGTGGTCAGGTTTCCAAAGCAGGGCTCGAACAAAATCCGAACTACGCTGGGAAAATTACTATAACTTGAAACCATCAACAACAATCCGTGACAAATTGAAGAAATATATGGCCGGTCCTTTTTTATTTAAATCCGAAATTAAATATAGAAAGAAAAACACACTGCTTTAATTAGTTTGAACAAACTCATGTTTACAAAGAGTCATGCATTTAATTTTGATTATCATTGATATTTCATGGCACATAAAGTATCAATGGTCAAGATCAGTCCATGCACGTCCGTGGGCAACTAATAAGTATAGAACAATCCTGTTTTTGTTTGGTTGGTAATGTAGTTTATGATCATGATCATCAGCGGGCAAACGGCAGATAAGCAGGAATAGGTCTCAAGTCACGAAGCCTTATCGAATGGACTGTGTACGCGTCAATCAAATTCTGACTCGTCGCATGCAATACATGCCTAACACGATCGAGATACTTCTGCTCATGCAGTCCCTGTCATCTCCACATACATACATACATACATACATATTACGCATGTATCCAACCGAAAAACCAGACTCCAAATAATTCAGAGAAACACAACCTGTCGAGAACATGGGTTTCTTTAGTGGACGTCCCACTCTGGGGCTCCACTTCCATCATCCCACCATTACCAATTCAAAGTTCAGTGCACTAATTTGTCAGTTTGTCCTGACAGTCGGTATCTACTAAACCCTTTTTTTTTTCTTTTTTCTATTTTTTTTACCAAGGGTATCCACTAAGTGTTTGTATAATGTAACTATGAATTTTTTAGGTGTTCATCACTCCGAAACCGATAATATATAGTTTGTATCCTATTCAATTTAGACTGGTTTCTAGAATTTTCAAATCAATTCAAGTCGATCAAAGATTAGAATCTGTAATGTAATGTGATCTAATAGGCATTGGATTAGATTTAACAGGGTGTCCGCTTTCGTAACGGAAAAATAAAAATATTGAAACTTTGTAGAGTTGCAATCAAATTTACACTACAACAAAATTAAGGGGCGTGCATTGCATATGAAAGCTTTGCTCGAAACTCAAATTCAAGTGTAAATATAGACTTTTCAGAAGTCAACAAAAGTTACCATGTATGGATAAAGACTTTTTATGATTTCTAAGAAGTCAATCAAAATCTTGTGGCATTCATTTATGACTTTTTGTGAGTTTACAAAAATTCAAGTGTATGGACTTTGAGAGTGCTTATAAGGAAAGTTTTTTGTCATAACAAGTCCAACCTCTCTCCCTCTAAGATTTTTGATCAATTTCATTTTTCTCAATTCTCTAAAGATACACATTACCACCTACCATAACGTAATGACAGTCATTACTACCATGTCGCTGCCACCACCTTACCATGACCATCTCTTCCACCCCCACCCCCACCATTGTCACCACCATTGTCATTGCCAAGAGCATCACCATCCCTACAATGACCACCACTTGCACCACCATAACCATGACCACCACCTCTACCACCATCATCACCACACCATCACCATCACCCCCATCCTTCCTCCTCTACCACTTTAACACCATCCTGCCACCACAATCACCATGTGAAACTTCCACAACTATCTCTACCGCTACCACATCATAAGACCACTTTGTCATGGTCACCATGTGGGAACATAAGATATATTGACCAATGGGAACACGCCATGTGTACAACTTATCAAATATGACTACTTTGCCCTTGACAAAATACGCAGACTGTTAGTCAAACCCTAATGGACTAACAGGCAACGTTCTCTACAAGGGCTTTAGAAGCCAATAAGCAACAAGTCCCCGTGCCCAATTCATTGCAAATGGTCCAAGTCGATCGACACACAACCTGCGCAAATTACTCTCATATGTAATGGTGCTTACCTTTTAGTCTCTTAGCACTTACGAACTTTCTTCCGTCCTGTCATTGACGTCCCTACAAGAATCTATGAAGACAACTTCGCCTATATCGACTAGATCAAGAAGTGATACATTAAGGGAGACAACACCAAGCATATTGCGCCAAAATTCTTCTTTTTGCATCATCAACAAAAACATCAGAATATCAAAGTCAAGCAAATTCGTTCCTAGGACAACCTAGCCGACCTCTTTACAAAATCACTGCCAAAGTCTACTTTCCATAAACTTGTTCAAGGAATCAGTATGCTTAAATTATCTGATTTGAATTGCTTGTCGTTCTCATGTGGGAATTTTGTCAAACTTAGGAGAGTTTCCATAAGTATACTCACTTGATATTAGTGACTCTTTTTCCCTACGATTAGAAGCATATATCTTTTTGGGTTTTTGCTACTTGATGAGGTTTTATTGAGGCGGAGGTGCTCATTCTGCTCTAGTCATACCTTTGTGTGCATTCTACTCATGAATATGTTTAGTTTTGACTTAATGTAAGTTCTCATTTTTCTCCTTAGACTGAGTTTTTATCCTACCATGGGTTTTACCATAGCACGGTTTTGTGAATTCTACTACTTATGCATTCTTCCGTTGTTTTTTAGACTCGCATTTGCTCATTGTGCCTCGACGACTTCATCAGCTATTCTTGATAAATCACTGAAGACATAATGCGACACTTTGTTTGAGTATTTACACACTCAAGGGGTGTGTTGCAATCCTAAATTAATTAGGAATGTAATTGTGTAAATCCTTATAGGATTCTATAGTATATTTTAGATAGTTTCTTAGTTATAATGTATTACTTGAAAGGCAAGTATTCTCCTTCCCTTATTGCTATAAATAAAGGAACAATGAGGGTGAGAAATAACGCACCACATAATTCACCAATTCTCTCTCTCTTGCCGTTGGCCTCCCTTCCCCTCTATGACCCTTCAGTAAAAAATGCCTACAACATATTAAGATAAATTAAATAAGGG